TAGCACTGAGAATTCCACCATCTCATGGTCTAACAACCATAAATCATAAATCATAAAATGATTTAGGCTCAAACAGGATTTCAATTAAAGTTTACAGTTTATTGAGTAAAGGCAAGCAAACAACGCTGGGTGCGTGGAGACAGAATGTCCTAATCCTGTTCTGATCCCTCAGTCTGCACACCGTACAGGTCTCTTTTTGGGTTTATATTTTTTTAACTAACACATATGCATGGGATTTTGCAATACGCTTATACATATGCATGACCTATCCCTGCTTCATATTATAATTAGCTCTCTTCCCATCTGCGCTTGAGCAGTGTCCCTCGCTGGTGGTTGTGGGGGGGGTCGCAGGAGCTGTTCTCTTCGTAACCTTTGTTAATTTTTTCTTCTTGCGTAGACTTAGTTATTTCTTGGCTCTTGCTCAAACAACAGGACCGGTATTATCTCGCTTCTGAGGGAGTGTTTTTTCTTTCTGGCATCTTATGGGTTTTACACAACTATATACTCCATTCTACTTGTTCTCAATCTGTTCTCCGTACAAGGACAGCCAAAATAGTCACAGAGGTCGCATCTTCCCTATGACCTCCACATTATTTTAACACGAATCAGACTGGCACATCTCACATACGTGGAAATACAGAAAGTTACTCTGTCTTAGAAGTGGTGTGGGTTTGTTTCTTCAGGCTGTTAAAAGCCAAGTATTTTCTATATGTAGCTCTTTGCTCTTTGCCATATGGAAAATAGTATTCTAGTGCCATTTAGATACAGCTCCCTTTTATCTGGTAAGAGGTCACAGAGTAGGGTCTGCAGGGAACTTATATCTAGCTGTCCACATGGCTTGAAGTTTAAGTTGGAATATTCTGTAGAGAATGGTGAAACAACTAGTTCAGTTTGGATGTTTTGAAACTTTTGGGAAATAGGCACTGAAACAACCATTCTTCCGTGATACTCTACTACCATGTGTGGAGCTCAGGTTCTACTAACGGAGGCCCTTCAGATCCTAGACAAAGTGTATCCCATTTCATTTATTCAGTATCTGTCCTATAAAAAATGCATTATATTAAGCTGTCAGCAAAGACACCAAGAATTAAAAAGGCATGAAAGCTGAAGTAAGAGTTCTAGGTTATATATTATTGTTTTTTAAAGCCAGGTTAGTTAAACTATATGCTCAATATGTGTCCATGGAGATGTTGTGCTAGTTTAAAACAGATTCTACTACTTTTTTCTACCACTGCAAAATAGATCTTCTCTAGACAGCTGTCTTATTGTGTTTCTCCATGTCAGGACTACAGCATGCTGACAGTACAGGATAAAGTCTTACTTTGACATTTCTTTGTCAGCTTTGTAAAAGTAGTGACCTATAGGTTAAATAGGATTGCTACAACCTGGTATAAACTAAAGATTTGAGTGTGCTTCTTCAGTCACTAACTGCATTGTTATAGAAAACAAAGGTGGAAACTCTCTAGGATAAGGCTGTCTTATTCTGTTTATCAGTTGTAGGTTACTCAGAATGAGACTGACGTGCGGATACAAAGCAGACCCCACAATCCGTAAGACTGTAAAGTAGGTATGTTTATTCACCGGTGGGCAGCAAGGTAGATTTTTTTCTCTAGACCTTGTGTGCCAAACGCCGCCGCTTGCCGAGGTTATATGCGGTAAAATGTTACATATACATAAGATTTCCCAATACGCCTATACATATGCATGACCTATCCCTGCTTCGTATTAAGATTAGTTCTAGGAAGTCATTTCCATAAACTCCTCCTAACTGCGCTTGCGCAGTACCTTCTGGTAGTCCTCGTGGAGAGCTTCTTTTCGTGACCGCTAGTAACCTTTGCTCGTGCACAGACTCAGTTGTTCTCTGGTTTTTGCTCAATCCGGGGGGTCGGGTTTAGCCAGTTCTTGAGACCACTCTCTGGTTCTTATCAGTAACTCAAGACTTCTCGCTCCACCCAGTCCACACAATTATCAGCACATTTAGTAAGTGATAAGTAATACAATGTTCCCCAAGATTTCTTTAATCCCTTTTTCAAGACCTCTTTAATGGAAAAAACCATATACTGGGATATAAATTACTGTGAAATCACACCTTTTGAATAAATGAGTCTGCCTTTCAAGACTGTTTGAGATGGAAAGGCATGCTTTTTTTACACTGAAATAAGTGTGTCCCAGAAATCTCTGCAAGAGCTTACATTTCTGGATAGTACTGAATTACTGGTAAATACTGTAGACTTCAAGTGAGATGCTCTTTTTTTTTTCCCTCTTCAGTTGTTGACAAGCTCAAGGATATGATGGAAGAAATTGAAAATGCAATCAATGCTTTTAAAGAGGAACAGAAGCAAATGTATGTTTATACATGCTTCAGCTATAAGAAAAAGTGCTTACATAAGACACAATGAAAACTTTGTGTTAATCAAGTTAACTGTTCTTTTGATTTACTCTTTTGCTAGTGATTTCAGTGGTATGTAAATCAAAACCTAAGCTATCAATTTAGAATCTTGATAAACAGGCCTTTAGAGAGGTTGTTTATTTAGCTATTGCAGTGCTCCAGTGTCACAATGATTTGCCTATGAAAAGACTTCTCAGAGAAAGGCTATAGAAGAGATTAGATTTGAGTTTTTTGTTATTGCTGTTGTCTTGGTTTTTAAGTGGGTGGGGTTTTTTTCCCCCCTTTCTCTATTGGTGTCAGGAGGGGATTGAGTTAGTTGTTTGAGTGCCATAAATACGTGCTTTCACTAAAAGGGTAACTTAATTCTGATTGTGTAGTGCTTTATTATGGGATCATCACAACTGTGCTGTCGTATGTGTTACCATTTCAGTTCTTAATCTTTGAAGAATAGCTTTTCTGTGGCATTGAACAATTCAAAAATTCATTTTCAGTGAATGAACAATGAATGCTGGAATTTTTTTACATTTCAGTATTTGTTCTCTTTTCAGATATGAACAGCTTTTGAAGGATGAAAAAGCTGCCAGTAATGAGCTCAGTGTCTTTGAGAGAAAAGTGGAACTGTGGGCATTAAGCAGCTCAACAACAAAAAAAGTTTTGAAGTTACCATCAGTCAAAGTCTCATTTGATAAAAAACTGGAAAATCATCTACCTGAAGAAGTAGTAGAATTTGAAAGACTTCTTCAACAAACAGGAGGGTGGCAAGGAGGCTGGGATGATTACAATCATCAAAATTTTCTGAAAGTACGGACAAAACACAAAGGCAGGCTATCTTATGTGGATGAAGCCCTTGAGTATCTCTGTGGCAGAACAAAAGAAGATATTGAACAGCATGACAAATGGTATCAAGAATTTCTAATTTTACATGAAAGAAAGAAAGAGGTAAAATAAGCCCTCTAGCACTTTTGTAGTTTTAAGAAAAAGTATTTGTTTTTAAAATGCACACATTTCTTATTTTTGTATTTGCCTCTCTGGTGGTAGTGCTAGGTGGATTTCAGTTACAGTTGATGGTGTAACTGAAGTCTAACATTGTTAACTTGCCAAAAATATTTGTTTTAAAGAATTACCAGTAACCACAGTCCTAACAACACACCAAAGTGGGCTGTGTATTTCCAAAGTACAGTGTAAATGCTTTTGATGGCAGTGGTCCAGCAAGTTAGATGCCAATCTTAGAGTAGTAAGTAACCCTATCTGAAATTGCAGTTTTTGTTACATCTGTCCCTAAGAATGTCTGTCCCACTGTCTAGGCAATATATCTATGCTGTACTGACATAGAAAATCATGATTCCTTCAAGAAATATCCATCTGAGTAATAAAAGACGCACTGACATAAAAACTGAATTACAAAATAGTAGGTAGAATTGTTAATTTGAAGAAAAATAAAAGACCTGAAATATGTTTGCATTTAAAAAAGCATATTACACCAACTTCATAACTACCCAGAGTTAATATGAATGCCATAACTTAAATAATTTTTTCAGGCACATGTGAAACCTGCCTGTGTGATCTGTAAAATTTAAAAAAAAAAAAAGCAGAAAAGAAAGCAAGCAAGCAGACATAGACTTCTTTGCCGTAAGTTTTGCCTGTAGTAGAATTTTAATTCCTATCTGCAGTTTCTATGCTTTTCTCCTGCTGTTCTCTTGCAGTCCATTAAGAAGTGGAAAGAAAAGCAGCAGCAAGAAAAAGAAGGCAGCTTGAAGGAGAAAGAGAAATCAGAAAAAATGCTCCAGGAAGAATGTCTGCAGCATGAAGAAGCTCAGAAGCAAAAAGCAGAAGAAAGAAAAAGACAACAAGCAGCAATTGAAGCATGGAAGAAAAAGAAAGCAATAGCATTTACAAGGGAACCAGCATCACGATTACAGCTAGAAAAGAAGGAGAAAAAACAACAAAAAGAATACCAGCGCCGATACCACATGAAGGTACTGATGGAAAAGTATGCCTTGCAGAAGAAAGAAAATGAGGAACTTGAAAAGCTTGAAAAATGAGAGAGGAAGCTGAAAAAGAGGAAAGGAAGAGAATTGCTGCAGAAGAAATCACTAAGTTTCAAAAGCATGTCTGTAATTACATCTTCGTTTATGCATGTTGTTTTAAATTCGCCTACTTCCTTCTGCAATATAATCTGTTAAACACTTTTTAAAATCCAAGTTTCATTCATTTAAATCTAGTTTTGATTCACTATGAATAACAGCATCTGCTACATAGAGGAAATAGTATGCAACTTTATTTTAGACAAAGATATTCCTTTTCTTCAATGTCTGAGTTCTGTAGGCTTGTTCAAGCCCGTATTTCTTTCTACATATAGAAATGGTTTTATTTACTTCAATGTGAAAACGGGAAAAACAGCTTGGGCTGCATTGCTCTCTGTGCTATAGAAAACATCAGAAGACCTGATTGTTGTATGCAGATATGAAATAAAAAGAGAGATTTGAATATCCTGCAGGTTTCAGTAGCTGAAAGGTCAAGTAAATGGAGAACTGGTATTACTGTCAGCATTCATACTAGAGTTCATTTTTATAAACAGAGATTAAAGTACCACGGTCTATTTTTTTCCAACACTATGTCACTATAAGTTGTTTGTGCAGGACAAACCATAGCAAGCAGCTACCTAGTGTAACTTTATTCTGTACTATGACTTTTTAAATTTCAAAACAAACAACAAACTGTGAAAAGGCTGAATATATATTTTCATACAATTTACTTTACTTCTGAATAAAAGCTTTTCCATTCATTATATATTTCAGGATCTACATAAACTGGGGCTAAGGATTCTACAAAAACAAGCTAAAGAATTAGAAAAACAGGAAAGAGAAAAAAGATTGGCAAAGCTAAAAGAGAAGGTAAGTTACATTTTTTCTTTTGTTTCTCTGAATTGTGTGCAGCTTGGTTATTTAAACAACCTTTTTTCTCATTGATCTAAAAAGGATTTTTACTTATCTAAATGGTTGATAAAGGGAAAAAAATATGCATTTTAATAGGAGACAAAAGTGTACCAGGCAGTTGTACTTGTGCTTAAAAAAAAAAAAGGCAAGAGAGAATTGAGTATTCCCAGCAGTACTTTTTTTCTGGGTAAAGCCTGTAG